CTAGAGGCTTATAAAAGCTTCTGCAAGCTATTAGCAGCAACTTATTAAGGCCCAGCTGTACAATGTATGAATTGTGCTACTCTATACACTAGCTCAGAAATTACTTATCTTTCAACTTATTTTCACTCTGTTGTAGATTTTAAAAGAGAGAAAGACTTTGAGACATGGAGAAGGCACTTCAGCAAGGTCAGGTTCACAGCAGCATATGGATTAATTTGACATAGCAACCCGGTCAAGTTGGGACAAGGGATAAAAATCAGACTGAATGTTTATCAGGGCCATGCACTATTAAAAAATTCCTGTCAGGCATGCAAGGTCATCTTGTGCCACCTCCCAAATAAACAAAGACAAACTTCAGAAAGGTTACTTCAGATTAACCAATGAACAAATAATACTTGTAGTCTCTGATGCATGACACATACAGAGTGAGAAAGAACTGCCTCTTAAAGACATATATTCTAATTCAGTGGTTTTAATCCACTGGTTAGGACTCTCCAATGGATCATGGCATCCCACCTGCTAGGTCATGAGCTACCACAGAACCCCCTCCTTTATTGCTGCTGAGCCAGTTTGGTATAGTGGTTAAGTGCGCAGACTCTAATCTGGGATAACCCAGTTTGATTCCCCACTCCTCCAACTGCAGCTGCTGGATGACCTTGGGCAAGCCATAGTTCTGTCAGAGCTGTCCTTGAAAGAACAGTTCTTGAAAGAGCTCTCTCAGCCCCACCTACCTCACAGGGTGTCTGTTGTGGGGAAGAGAAAGGAGTTTGTAAACTGCTCTGAGACTCCAAGTGAAGGGCGGGGTATAAATCCAATCTCCTCTTCTTCTTAAAAGGAATCTCTGCTAGTGTGCATATATAAAGGAGGCCAGGTCTCCTGGCTGTCTTTGCATGCGTGCTGAGAGGAACAGCAGGACATTAAGGTGAGGTCCCTCAGTAGTGGAGAGAAATCCATGTCAGCCCAGGCAAAATCAGAGATAGCACCATCTCTGCACAAGTTCTCCTTTCTCTTCTTGCTCTCTCTTTGCCTTCCCTCGCATACTCCAGCTTCGGGACCTCCAGCCCTGCTAGCCTGTCCTATAATGCTCTGCACACAATTTGTACCCTCTTCCATGAGAGAGATAATTCTAGCCTCTCCTTTTCCTGTCACATGTAGTTCAATGGATCCCATGCTGTCATGGTTAAAGATGGGCCTCAGGTTTGTTCTCATATGATTTCTGGCCTCCAACCCTACCATAATTCACTGTTTTTAAAAAAACACATTACGTTCAATTTCTGCTGCTACATCTCTGGCCTTTCTACCTTCTTCACTTAAGTTGGAATACTGCCTACATGTGTTAGTACTCACAAAACTGTAGTAATACTAAAGACACACATTCATACCAATGAAAAAGGCCCCTTTAGCTGGAGCCTTCCACCACCAAAAAAAGGAGGGGGGGGGGCTTCTCAAGAATGGACAAGTACCTTACCAGAACTAAAACTATATCCTAAGTTTTGTGAAATTCTACCTTGTTCTTAAATGCAATATTTAAAAAAAACCACACACATATTCTAAAGGATACCAGCTAATGGATGCTTATCAAAGGAAACCCTGTTTTTCACAGAGAGGAGATGAATCTCTGGGCTCCTATGCCATTTGGCTTACAGGCATATGCATGCTGCGTGAAAGTAACTCGAAAGAGTAGATATAATGGAGCGGATTGTCACATGTAGTTCAATGGATCCCATGCTGTCATGGTTAAAGATGGGCCTCAGGTTTGTTCTCATATGATTTCTGGCCTCCAACCCTACCATAATTCACTGTTTTTAAAAAAACACATTACGTTCAATTTCTGCTGCTACATCTCTGGCCTTTCTACCTTCTTCACTTAAGTTGGAATACTGCCTACATGTGTTAGTACTCACAAAACTGTAGTAATACTAAAGACACACATTCATACCAATGAAAAAGGCCCCTTTAGCTGGAGCCTTCCACCACCAAAAAAAGGAGGGGGGGGGGCTTCTCAAGAACGGACAAGTACCTTACCAGAACTAAAGCCTCATAACTATATCCTAAGTTTTGTGAGATTCTACCTTGTTCTTAAATGCAATATTTTTTAAAAACACACACACATATTCTAAAGGATACCACCTAATGGATGCTTATCAAAGCAAACCCTGTTTTCCACAGAGAGGAGATGAATCTCTGGGCTCCTATGCCATTTGGCTTACAGGCATATGCATGCTGCGTGAAAGTAACTCGAAAGAGTAGATATAATGGAGCGGATTATTTATTATTTAATCACATTACATTTGACTCGAGCTTCTTATATTGCTCTGTATGGAATTCTCACTGGTTTGGCCACATACACATCCTTATTACTGTGATTCTAACTGCACATGCTGTATTGACAGTAGCCTCTCTCTGCATGCCTTATATGTAGGGTTGCCAGGTCCCCTTGTTGCTCCAGCGTGGGGATTTGGGGGGGGGCATTCTGAGGGTGTGCAGGGATGCCCCGAACCCCACCCCCAAGAGCGACCACCTGCCTGGCCATCCCTCTTCCTCCTCCCTGATTTAAAGGGCTTTAGCTGATCCGTGGGGACCATGTGGCCTGCCGATGAGCTGGAGGGCCCTTTAAATCTAGCAGGTGGGAGGAAGAGGGGCGATTGCAGCCCCCACCCTGCAACTGCCCCTCTCCCTCCTGCGAGATATAAAGGGTCCTCCAGCTGATTGGCAGGCCATGTGGTCATCAACTGGAGCCCTTTAAATCGGGCAGGAGGGAAGGGAGAGGGGTGGCTGGGCAGGTGGTCACTCTTGGAGGTGGGACTTGGGGGTAGGGCTTCCCTGTTGGCCAGCTGGGTGGGGCAGATTGGAGCCCCCAAAAGTGGGGAAAACCCTGCCCGGACCTGGGGGCTGGCAACCCTACTTATATGTATGCACTGTGCTTCTAGGGTTGCCATCAGGCCCTAGTGGCTTGAAGAAGAAGAGATTGGATTTATACCCCGCCCTTCACTTGGAGTCTTAGAGCGGCTTACAAACTCCTTTCCCTTCCCCTCCCCACAACACACACCCTGTGAGGTGGGTGGGGCTGAGAGAACTCTGACACAAACTGCTCTTTTTCAAGGACAGCTGTGCCAGAGCTT